AGACAACCCTGTTGAACATTTTACAGTTTATTTCCAGAATGATCCAGTAGGTTTGTTAAACATTTTTAGTATTTCATTCACCTAAGCAGTCATGGCTGATCTGCATACATTTACACTCTGAGAATAAATGAAGCATTTCAAGAGTTTAGGGAATCACAGTATCCAAAAGACTATTTTTTGTCCTACTAAAAACATAAACTATATGTTTGCCATTAACAAATTCAATAAATCACATGTCAAAACTCATTTAGGTAATGTCGCTATTGAAAACTCAGAGTATTTCAGTCAAATAATTGATTATAATTCTCTTGTAATTAGTTTATTGTCTAATATTGTGTATACAACTCAAGTTGTTTTCTAGTCATGCTCATATTTCACCCAAGATACTAAATATTTATAAATACAAGCTGTCTCTGTTAGAGAAATATTGATAAACAATTTTCAAGTCATCCCTTTGTTCAGTCTGTCATTTAATCATACTCAAGAAGCAAAATATTTTTAGATACAAGCTGTCTCTGTCAGAGCAATCACTTTCATCTGATGTTCTGGCTGTTGCATTCATCAGGGAAGCAGAAGTGGAGAATACTCAGAGGAGGTTTAAATAACCAAGAGCGCCCCTCCTCCACAGAATCTGCATATTGTAGCAAAGGGGCCCAGGGCTTCTCTCAGCTCCACTTGGGCAGCCTCATTGCCTTGACTGGATAGCCCCAAGAATAGATATTACAGCTATTTCAGGCAGCAGCTGCATTTCATTTGTACTGGTGTGACTGGATTAACTCCAGTGAGTTACTGTAGCTTTACACTGGAATAAACTACATCAGAAGTGTGGCCATGAGTGTGTATGTTATATGGTTTATCTGCCCTAGGCTTAGTGCTGAATTGTGTAACGTAGATCCTGAACTTTCAAGTCACATATATATATGTTAAAGAACAGCCAAGTTTAAGACCTGGAATTGAAAGTCATCATAACCTTCACCACCCATGTGATGACATTAAAGCTGTCCTGAATTTTAAATATGTGTAAGAGTGAGATAAATTCCACTTGATAATCTAATAGATATACTGGTCCTGAATCTTCTCTCACTTACATCAGTGACAATCCACTGACTTCATTGGTGGTATTCCTGATTTAGCCTGGTATAAATAATAGGGGAGTTAGCCCACTGTATTTAAATTCTACATCTGTCTCCTATGTAAGGATGTGGTAAATATTATGTACAGTTACAATGGATAAGCTAATGGACATACTGGACCTCATTTTCATTTACGCAATCTGCTCTAGCAGAATAAAGGGAGCTTAAATGCAATCAGGTATTATCTGGTACATAGCCCATGCTTCCCCCTGTACACAGAGCCAGGATCTGAGCAGGTGTAATATGGTTGCAGTAGCCAATAGGGTGAGGCCTCACTTCCCTCATCTCCCGTGTCTGATTGTGTTAGACCCTGGTCACACTCTAGCACAATGAAAAATGTTGCAGTTTGAACAGTTTCCTTCAAATTACAGAAAGAGAAGAGTAGTAATGAGACATGACATGTTATCAGGGGCGGCTCCAGACACCAGCGCACCAAGCGTGTGCCTGGGGCGGCAAGCTGCGGGGGGTGGCCTGCCGGTTGCCGTGAAGGCGGCAGTCAGGCTGCCTTCGGTGGCATGCCTGCGGGAGGTCCGCCGGTCCCACGGCTTCGGCGGTGGGTACGCCGAAGGTGCAGGACCGGCAGACCTCCCGCAGGCATGCTGCCGAATCCGCTTTACCAGCAGACTTCCTGCAGGCATGCCACCGAAGGCTGCCTCACTGCCATGCTAGGGGCGGCAAAATACATAGAGCTGCCCCTGCATGTTATGTTGCTCATTGTATTAGAACATGTATTTTTGAACACTGGGACAACTCAAATATTCCATAGCAGAAAGCATGGTCAATAAATGAACCAGAAATGACATCCCAGATTATAGTTTTTATATATTAGGCCTATTATTGCCATGACATGCTTTGTTGTACCACATCGATAATGATACCCATGATTTCTATTATAGGCATGGGCATGGAGAAAGGAGAGGTTGACAATCTCTGGGAAGCTGATGAAAACATGAAAAGAAGAACAGGAGTACTTGTGGCACCTTAGAGACTAACAAATGTATTAGAGCATAAGCTTTCATGGACTACAGCCCACTTCTTCGGATATGCATCCGAAGAAG